GGGGGGGTTGCAACTCCCCCAACCCCACCTCTAGATCTGCCACTGATGTCATCCTCCACTTCGCCGCGTACCAGCTTGAAGGATCGTAGGAAGTGGCGTATTACAAATCACATCATCGTGTCATCCTCCACTTCACTGCGTATCGGTTTGAAGGTTCCTAGGAAGTGGCGCATAACTGGCGGTGCCCAATCGACGCAGTACCCGGATACCGCCTGCTTGTTTTCCGCGACGTACCTCAGCACCTCGGCGACATACTCAAGATGGCGGTTCGTGTAGACGCGCCGCGGCAGCGCGAAACGCAGCATGTCCAGTCCCGTGTAGCCGTCGCCGTAGTTCACACGTCCGAACTCGTAGCCGCGGATGCCGCCTTCTACGTACAGCGCGTTGGCGAGCGCCCACGCCGGATAATGCTCGCGCGGCATGTGGTCGAGTATCGCGCCGGCGTCGACGTACACGTGGCTGCCCCAGACGGTCGGGATCCCGGCGTCGGCGATGAGGTCAGTGAGGAAGCTCACCTGCGACATGCGATACTGCAGGTAGTCGAGATCGAGCGACTCGCGAAGGCCGACCGCGAGCGCTTCCATCGATCGTCCTGAGATGCCGCCGTTCGTCGGGAAGCCTTGCGTCAGGCACAGCTCCTGCAAGCACTTCTCGTACAGCGCGCGATCGCCGCGGATGCCGATGAACGCGCCGACGTTTCCGAAGCCGTCCTTCTTCGCCGAGACGATGCACGCGTCGCCGTACGAGAACGCCTCGCGCGCGATGTGCTCGAGCGACGCGTCGGCGAAGCCGTGCTCGCGCGTCTTCACGAACCACGCGTTCTCGGCGTAGCGGCACGCGTCGAGCACGACGGGCAGGTCGTACGAGCGGCAGACGCGCGACACCTGCCGCACGTTCTCCATGCTCACCGGCTGCCCGCAGATGTCGTTCGCCGTCAGCGTGACGATGACGCAGCCGACGTCGCGGCGGCGCTGCGCGAGCAGCTGCTGCAGCTCGGTGATGTCCATGTTGCCGTGGAACGGCTCGGTCAGCTTCAGCTCGCCGACGATCGGATGCTGCGGCAGCGCGATCGTCTTCGCGTGCGCTTTCTCCTCAATGTTTCCCTTCGTCGTCGAGTAGAAGCAGTTGCTGATGACGAGGCAGCCCGGCCGCAGTAACTGCCCGTAGAGGATCCTCTCGGCGGCACGACCTTGGTGGGTGGGAAGCACGTATTCGTAACCCGTGATGGACTTTATCGTCTCCTCGAGCTTCTGGTAGCTGACCGAGCCACAATATCCTTCATCGCCTAGAGAACAGAATGTTTGTCGATACAAGAAATTAACTGTTTAGGTAAAAAAAAATCAATTAACTAGTTTGTTCTGGTAGATGGTCTGAAAAATAGAAGACTGGAATCAAAAGATGGTCCAGATACTACACTGTTAGACGAACTCTATTTATCGGATTTCGTGCACAGCGATGAGTTGGCAATAATATCGGTTCCATTTTTATCATGCAACATTACATTAGAACAGATTAACCATATCAATACGATTACAATAAACTTTACCACTATTTCATGCCAACGTTATCAGCACTGGTGCAAATACCAGCCGATATCAATAGTAGCTGAGTCATAAACCACAACTTCATAATTAATACTACATACTACTCCATACCAGTCCATAATCGTACTAAAATGAGCTCAGGGAAGTTAGCTCCCAGTTCCCAGTTCCCAGTTCCCAGTTCCTTATTCGAATAAGGAACTAGTAATATTGAATCTTAATGATCGAACGGATACATAAAAATTCTTCGTTACTTGCTTTAATGGAAGCCTCCAAGCATCCAGTCGGTGTATATTTATCATCACGGTGGTAACTACTTCTTGCTCCCTCGTATTTTGCGCAAGCCAACAACAAATGCACAAACAGCAAACTTTACAGTACTGCTATAAACAAAATTGTTTCGTGTAGCCGTGTTATTACAGAGAGCGTATGACCGTCTGCAAGACTTGCCGAACGCCATGCTCGTAAAATAGCATAACACAGCAGCCGGTGTCACCAGTCGCTGCAGATTCACGGGCTCATATCTTATTGAGGTCTACCTGCGTCAGTAATAAATATTATAATAGCTACGAACACACGAATGATAAAAGCTCAGTGTTAATATAGACAAAATACAAAACGCGCGGATATTATTACGTAAATTATACACCTGCGCAGCAATCAATGTTTATTTTGCCGGGTAAAAAAAATGCAAAATTACAATTTTATAACATTTCTAACAATCAACATTATCATATCAGAATTAAATACCATAAAGACCAATGCATTACCAGAGTTAGCATCAACGTTATTATTCACATTCAATGAATGAGGCCATAAGTTTCATAAGTTTATTTACATAACTTTCAATATATAACTCTATATTTTTACGGATTTTCATTAATCAAGTGGAAGCCCTAATTAAACTACCTATTTAGGCACCGGTTGCACGTGATCCCCCCCCCCAACCTACAAATGATAGAGTCACCTTTACATTTACCCCCATGAACTGGTCTCAATTTAAACACTAGCTTTTACTCGTCGTTTCAAACCATCATCTTACAAAAAAGTTATTGCTGTTGTGGAGCCACTCGAGCACTGACAGAAGCACTACAATGCGTTGGCGGCGGTCACTTTCCAGGGCCACTATTTGCAAGTCTCTGGAGCTGGCCAGTCTCTTAAAACTATCATTTCTCTCACAAGTATCAGAACGGTATCCTAGAGAAAATATGAAAACGGTTGGTAAAAAAACACGAGAAATCTTCGCTTTAAACCCATTGATCACATCATCGTGTCATCCTCCACTTCACTGTGTATCAGCTTGAAGGTTCCTAGGAAGTG